TCAAACTACTCCAGGTCAAATAACCACTACATGCCCAGATGACTGTATACAGTTCAAACAACTACTACAGTCCGGAAAAGGCAAATTCAAGTCAAACATAGCTGCAGAAACCCTCAGGAGGGACAAAATAGCTGAAAAACTCCTGTAACAACAAAAGGTGTTAAAAATGATTTCACAAACGATGACTTTGGTGATGCAAAGAAGCAACAACAGATATGCTCAATTCACACACCCGTAAGTAAAGCCAACTGCTTATCTGTGTTACCCTCTGACAAGAAAAAGGAAATGACAGAGCCTGAAGCTTCTTTACGTGGCCTGAAATAGCCCAAGAATTTCTGCACATAAAACACTATTACGTTAGACACCATGGGCATGTTCTGGAGGAATTTGGATGGTTTGGAGGAATGCTGGAGGAATCTGTGAGAGGGAAACACTGTTTCGGATAAAAAAAGAAGCGGATCAAGCCGGGTTTAAGGACACACAAACGGGGCCCATATATATATAAGAGAACTGTGAAATTCACAAGAATTTATACAAATAATCCACTGATAAGAAAATTGTGAAATAAAAGAGTTTACATACACGCACAACTCTAAGCACATCTTTAACCTCCTGATGTTGCTTTTGAAAAATTTCAAGCTCACAGTTCATTAACATTAGTTCCTCCTTCAAAGTTTGAACCTCCTCCTCAAGACTAATGATTCTTTTCTCTTGCTCAATTCGTCTTTTGGTACTCCTATTTGATAAACCATGATTGCTGAAGCATTCATCTGGGAGGCTTGCGAGTGAGGTACATCTGATCTTGTCCATTGTGCCTTCCCCCCACTCTCTGATTGTACCTGTCTGGAATACACAAGTAATAAGATCAGGAAAAGGCCTCAAATCTAAGAAAAATCAGAAAACTTTGGCATGGACACCTACTACCTTCCAGGGATTGTCAATAGAGAGAATAAAAAGCGACAGAAAGATACGGCCATCTCCACAATCTTTTGTACTAACTTCCAAGAACGCATGTTGCCGATTGATGATCAGATCTGAATGTAAAAATAGTTCAAATATGTTAGTGTTTTCCAAGTACAATATTTTCCAAATAAACAATACAATCTCCATTCATCTTTATACAGTACCGTCGACGCGGACTAGAACTAGGCTCACCAGAGTTGAAGAAACACTGTAAGAACACAGGCACACAGCTTTGGGGCACCAGCGCAGTGGGAGGTGGCCGACGCGATGTAGGTCGGGGCACCGGCGGCGGCGTGGCGTAGGCGGCGTGCGTTTGGGCAAGTTCGAGTCACGACTCAAGACTCAAGAGTGAGTACCGGTGGCTACAGAAGTGTGCGGTGCCCGTGCGTGCGGACTGTGGAGTATTGGGCTGCCATTGGTCAAAAAAAAAAAAACAGAGCAGAGCTAGCCAGTCAGTGGCGAATCTAGCAAAAATATATAGGGGGGCTGAATAAAACGCTCTAGAAAAGGTTGCACCTCTAGCACATATGTTCTTGAGGCTGTGAGGTGAAGACATGCCTACAATTGAACAAGTAGAAATGGCAATTTAGACAACTTTTACTAGCAGAAAGGATGAATTCATCTCATGACTCATGTTGACACAGCAAATAAGCAAGACATTCAACCGTTGCTAACAGCAAGCAAGACATTTTACTGCCTATGCCTCTACTGGTTTCTATATTACTATTTTCTAATCGGAAGAAGCACTAGTTGTTTATTCTAAGATGAAAGTAACCCCAGAAATCAAGGAGAGAGAGAGAGAGAGAATAATTCTAGCTAGCCTTTCTGCTGGCTGTGCGGCATTTTAACAGACACTTTGGAAGCACAAGCACTCACATAGTTTCCGAGCTGATCCTGGCCGGTTGGTGCTGGCTAGTGGCTAACCCTGACCGTCTTCCCTTGGCGCTCGGCCGCCTGGCGCCTGCAGTGCCTTGGCGCTCGGCCACCGAGCAGCCCTGGGGGTACGGAAGTTGGAAGACCGGACCACCGGAGGGGTAGGCAGCACGCTCAGACGAAAAAAAAAATAGAGAGAAGCCAAGCGGACAGGAGTCAGGTCGCCACTGCCAGTGCGCCCAGGCGTCGCGCGAAGGGAAGCCTCGCGCAGAAGGAAGCGGCCCGGCGACGGACTCAAGCAGTCGTTAGCTGCAACGCTTCGGCTGGAAGGAATGGCGAAGACGTGGGCTTCTTGCCTTCTTGGCCTGGTGGGGTGCCTCATCTTGGGCCATGGGGATGCCATAGGGCCAAATTTTGCTACTCAAGTTTTGAAAGGAAAAAAATTATTTTGTCTTCCTCAATTATCATAAAAGTCAGTTTTTCCTCCTTAACTCTCTAACCAAAACTAATTCCTCACTCGTCTCTCAAACCGATCACTTGACCTCCATCATGGATGTTTTTCTTGGTGGTTTTTCTTTTTGTTTATTTTTATTTTGGCTAAATCTTTAAAAAATCATAGTAAATCACATATAATCATAAAATGGAAAATTCAATTGTGTTAGACTCTATATAAGTAAATCTACATAGTGAACATATGATATGGTATGTTTTAGAACAATTTTTTTGTTGTGACTTTACATATATGTTTTTCTATAATTAATTCATAGCTGTAGTTTCTCCTATTCAATTATGGTGAAAATTTTATGGTGAATTAATCATTGCATGCTTGAGCTGTAGGAAAAATATCATGCTCATTGGATCATATATGATTGACTTATAGATTTATATAGGTTTATCTAGATAAAACTATAACTCAATCACACATGATCCAATGAGTATGAAATTTTTACTACAACTCAAGCATGCAATGATTAGCTCGCTATAAAATTTTCACAGCAATTGGACCAGAGAAACCGCAGCTACAAATTAATTACAGAAAAACGTAGATCTAAAGTTACAGCAAAAACTTTATGCTAAAGCATAGTATATCATATGTTCACAATGTAGATCTACTCATGTTGATTCCAACACAATTGGATTTTCCATATGTTTTTCTGTGATTTTCTATAATTTTTTAAAGATTCAACCAAAATAAACATAAAAAAGAAGAAACCACCAAGGGAAAACAACCGTGGAGGTCAAGCGAACGGTTTTGAGATACGAGGGAGGAACTATTTCTTGTTTTAGAGTTGAGGAAGGAAAATCTAGCTTTCACAATAGTTGGGGAGGCAAAATAGATTTTTTCCTTTTTGGAATTGGAGGGGGTGTCTGGGCAACCACAGGTCCTCATTGGGCTTCTCCCCTGGCCAGTTGTTCACTTCCGACTCAAGATGGCAACGGGTACCCAAAAAATCCGAGTACCCGATGGGTTTTACCCGATAAGAAGGCGGGTATGAAAGACATTTTGCACCCGTGGGTACGTTATTGGACGAATTTTTGTACTCATCGGGTATGCGGGTACGGGTGTGGGTGTATACTACCCATACCCGCATACCCACGGGTAAAAAAAACCCGCATAAATAATATCCAACCTCTGTAATTTTAGCCCATAGAAGCATATAGCCCATATTTGGCCCATATAAGCATATGAGTATATATATTCCAGAACTCTCTCAAACCCTAATCCTCATCCTCACTCCACTCCACCAGCCCATATTTATGTTTTGCTGCTCTATTATTGATTTATTTTGCTGGAAGCTATTATATTTTGGTGTGTGAACTTGGATATATTATCGGGTAAGAATTACCCGTCGGGTAAGAATGACCCGTCGGGTAAGAATTAACTATCGAGTGCGGGTATAGAATGAATTTTCTACCCGCCTGCGGATACGGATAACCCGACGGGTAAGATTTTAATCTGGCGGATGCGGATACGGATGGCCAGTAGCCATCGGGTACGTACCCATTGCATCTTGACTTCCGACTACACACGGCTACTGGACCACCGCGCTTGCTACAGGCTGCGTTGACGGCCGCGGTTCAATATTCGCTTGTATGTCATGTGTGTTAACTTGTTATCATGCATATCATATGATTAATAGGTGTTATTAGCATAACACATGGACATGTGATTGTTACGCATAGATTGAAAACGAGATAAGTACGGGTAAATTCCACATTAAAACGGGATTCCGCAAAAACGGACAGAAAACGTCTCCTCCTATTTCTACAAATACGGAAACAGGATCCCACGAGTACAAAAACGACGGGACAAAAGCAAAAAAGCGAGACAAGACAGGACTTTTCGTCCGTTTTCATCGCTACACCTGGGCGAGCCGCGGTGTGCGCCCACGCTACGTCGTGGTCCAAACAAGCTGGGCAAGGATCGGGGGTGCAAGGCAAAAGTCTAGACCAGCATGGGCAGCACACCTGGCCGAGCAACGGCGGCGCAGCCAGGAATAACCACGGTGAGTGCATACGGCTGGGCGGGTGGCAGCATGGGGGAGAAGGCAACCTGTGGGAGATAAAAGAAGGCAATTGAGAGGCTGTCACATACTCACATAGACCATACAAGTCATTAAGCTAGTATGTCATCCCACTTCTACAAAGCCACCAAACCAAACAGAGAACTCAAATAGACCTAACCTTCTCAACCAACACAAGATGAGTTCATCCCGCTAAAATTTGCCCATTCCCAGTAATCCCCAAACAAAACACATGCCCTGACACATAACTATCCCCCCTGGAACATAATTACCTTATATATATATATATATATAGTTACCATATATTTGATAGTTAACGTTGTACTGAAGCATTCACCATACACACAATTATCCACAGATAAAGTCAACCGTTATGTTGAACTGTAAAATCCATGTGCAGATGACTGCAAGCTGTTGAAACATCATTTGTCTCACAAACAACTACTCCAGGTCAAAGAACTACTACATGCGCATATGACTGCATGCAGTTCAAACAACTACTATAATCTGGAAAAGTCAGCTTCAAGTCAAACATGAGAGTTGCAGAGACGCTCAGGAGGGACAAAATAGCTGAAAAACAAGTGGGGCCCAACTCTTAGGTGCCCCAGATCCAGAAGGCAGCCGGAGGATGGGCACACTATGCTGGAGAAAGCTCAGGATTTTAAGAAAATTAAGAATCTGGAGACAGGTACTAAACACAAATCTTCTTTTGCTTTTGAAAGCACTACAAGTTTACTTCAAAAAGCTAATATTGCTAATATATCTTTGGGTATTAATACCTGTAATCAATTAGAAAAGATAGAGTTATTGAAGCAGAAAGAATTAGCTAATAGATGGGAGTTTGAGGAAAGTAGTCCTGAGACTACTTTACCTGCAAATCTTGATAGTGTTTTAAGGTGCGAGGATTTCCCTCCACTGATTTCTGATACTGACCCTCCTTTAAAGGATCAGTTAGATTTGAGGGAACAGTCTTGGGTGCAAGTAGCTTCTAAAAGCTGCGATAAGAGTCCATTTAAGTTGAGAAATGATAGGAGCTCTATGGAATATTAGAGGCCTTAATAAAGAAGGCCGGTTGCAATGTATCACAGATTTTGTTAAAGAGAATCAGTTAGATTTTGTTGGCTTTCAAGAAACAAAAAAAGAGAGTTTTCAAGATTCTTTCCTAAAATATGTTCAAAAAGACTTTAACCGGCAATACCTCCCTGCGGAGGGTACAACTGGTGGTATCCTTGTTGGTTTTAGTGAAAGAAAGTTTGAGGTCTTGGCCTGGAAGATAGGAGTGTACAGTGTCGCTGCAATAGTTAGAAATTGTCATGACAATTTTGTGTGGAGGCTGATTACGGTCTATGGTTCACCTTATGATGAAGGAAAACAAGAGTTCATTAATGAACTTGAAAATTTAGTTGATAATTGGGATGGCCCTACTGTGATAGGTGGAGATTTTAATTTAGTCTGTAATGTTAAGGATAAAAGTAATGGAGTCATTAACCACAAATGGGCAGATTTGTTCATGGACTGGGTTAACAAGTTTGATTTGATTGAGAATTAAAACCTTCATCTAGAGCGTTTACCTGGACAAATAATCAAGAGCAGCCTATTTTGGCTGCTATTGACAAAATTTTTTGCACAACCAATTTTGAACATAAGTTCCCTTTGGCCTTTGTGTCTACTAGCTCTAGAGCAAGCAGTGATCATGTTCCTCTTATCCTTAATTTTGGCTTGGAGGAGAGAAGGAAACCTAGTATGTTTAGATTTGAGAAGTGGTGGTTACAACAGCCTGATTTCAAGGAGCTTATTGCCAAATTATGGAACACTTCTTGTGCCTTCACGGACCCTTTAGACATTTGGCAGTTTAAAATTAGATTGGTTAGAAAGAAGGTTAAGGGGTGGGCCTTAAATATTAATGCCCAAGTTAGAAAACAAAAGTTAGAACTCCTTAAGGAGTATGATCTGCTAGACTTGAAATATGAGAACTTTGTTATTACTGAGATGGAAAGAAACAGGATGAAGGAGATTGTTAAAGACCTAGAATCTATTTGGAAGTTAGAGGAGATTAAAGCTAGACAGAGAGCTAGGGATAGAAATGTAAAAGAGGGTGATAGAAACACAGCATATTTTCAAGCTGTGGCAAATCAAAGAAATAGGAAAAAACGTATTTCTGGGTTAGAAGGCCCTGATGGTTGGATAGATGATAATAAAGGCATGCTTGAGCATGCTGTTGATTTTTACAGAAAACTGTTTGGTAAAGAAGAAGATAGTGGTGTTAAGTTAGGACAAGATTTTGGGGGAGTGGATGAGAAAGTGACTGCCTTAGAAAATGAGCTGTTAGAGGCTCCTTTTACTGAAAATGAAGTTAGAGAGGCTGTCTTTAGCTCTTATGCTGAAGGAGCCCCAGGCCCTGATGGGTTCTCTTTTCTTTTTTATCAAGTCTTTTGGGATCTGATCAAGGTGGATCTTATGAATCTTATAAGAGTGTTTGAACAAGGGGATCTGAATCTTGACAGGTTGAATTACGCCATGATAACGTTGATCCCTAAAGAACCTGAGGCTAAGGTGCTGAAGAAATTCAGGCCGATTAGCCTAATAAACTGAAGTTTTAAAATTTTCTCCAAATTGTTGAATAATAGAATGGTGAGAGTAGCTGATAGGCTAGTGGCGTCTAACCAAACAGCCTTCATTAAAGGAAGGTTTATTCTGGATAGTGTTGTGGCTGCCCATGAAATTATTCATGAGGTCCATAAACGAAAACAGGAAGGTGTGGTGTTGAAACTAGATTATGAAAAGGCATATGATAGGGTCAACTGGTCTTTCCTTGAGGAGATGCTTGAGACTAGGGGTTTTGGTGGAAGATGGAGAGGCTGGCTTCGACAGGTTGTTAGAGGAGGTTCTATTTGTATTCGTATTAATGATGAGAATAGTATCTTTTTCAAGTCTGGGAAGGGTCTGAGGCAGGGAGACCCTTTATCCCCTTTGCTGTTCAATTTAGTAGCTGACGTTTTTTCTAGAATGCTTATGAAAGCAGCTAGGCATGGACTTATTACTGGGTTATTACCACAAGTGGTAGAGGGTGGTATCATCAGCTTGCAATATGCTGATGATACACTGCTTTTCTTAGAAAATAATATGGAAAAAGCTTGCAATTTGAAATGGCTTCTAGTTTGCTTTGAGCAAATGTCAGGCATGAAGATTAATTATGATAAGAGTGATTTGTTGACGGTGGGTTTAGAAGAAGATCAGGCTAATGAGTTTGCTAGACTTTTCTGTTGCAAAAAAGGTGAATTTCCTATTAATTACCTGGGAGTTCCCCTTCATTATAGTAAGCTTACAAGGAAAGACCTACAACCTGTGGTGGACAAAATTATTAAAAGGATAGCTGGTTGGAGGGGTAGGCTTCTATCTTATGCTGGGAGGATTGTTTTGCTAAAAGCTTGTCTGGCTAGTATTCCAATTTATTTGCTGTCCATTATAAAGTTCCCTAAGTGGGCTATCAAAATGATAAACTCTCAGATGGGACATTTTCTGTGGAACAACTTTGAAGACAGACATAAGTATCACCTAGCCAGCTGGCAGTTAGTGGCTCAAAAGAAGGAAGAAGGAGGGCTAGGTATCCCAGATTTGAGGAGCTTAAATTTAGCTTTGTTAGCTTCGTGGATCTTTAGATACCATCTGCATAAGAACGCTATTTGGGTTAAAATTGTAGACTTTAAGTATAATACCACTGATCCGAACATTTTTTGCTGCCCAGATCTAGGATCTTCCCCTTTTTGGAAAGGGGTCCTCTGGGCAGCTCAAGCAGCTCATATGGGCGTCAGATGGGTAGTAGGGAATGGGAGGAAGGTAAGGTTTTGGGAAGACCAATGGGTAGGAAATACAAGTTTGGCCATTATGTTCTGGCCGTTGTATGTCATTAATGAACAGCATGGTAAGGCTATAAGCCAGGTCTGGGATGGGCATGAGCTTATGCTCACTTTTAGAAGGAATGTTTCCGAGGCTCTTATGAACATGTGGTGGGAACTCTGTGGTGTGATAGAGGGAACCATCCTCAACGATGATGAGGATCAGATAGTGTGGAGCTATACCTCTCATGGCACTTACGCTGTCCAATCCTTGTATGCTAGGATTAATTGTAGAGGTGTGTTTCCGGTTTATATTCATGCCATATGGAAGCTTGTGATTCCACCTAGAGTACAGTTCTTTCTGTGGTTGCTCTCTCATAACAGAATTCTTACAAGGGACAATTTACAAAAAAGAAGGGATGTTTCGGATCCCACTTGCCTTTTTGGTAGTGAACAGGAATCCATTCGGCATTTATTCTTTGATTGTTGTGTAGCTGTGAGTGTTTGGGGTTTGGTTGCTGAGGTGTTAGGTGAGAATATCGGTGCTGACTATGAGTCTGTAGCTAAGTTGTGGGTTGCGAATAAGAAACATGTGGTTACTAATGTGATTTCATCTGCTGTTTTGTGGTCCTTATGGAAGTTAAGAAATGAAATTTGCTTTCAGGGGGTGTTTTGTCTAGGCACAAAGATGGTGCTGATCACGATCGCAAAGATGCTAAGAGGCTAGCTTTCAATGTTCAAGCGGGAGATTGGAGTGTTGCTGGAGAGCAGAATAGTCAGGATGGAAGAATTGTCAAGGCGCCCGGCACAGATCGAGTGGAAGGAGGAGGTGGCAACGGACCTGGAAACCATGGTGGACTCGGTGATGCAGGATCTGGAGAGCAAAGCGAGCCAGCCACCAAGAAACTGTTGGGATGGGGGAATGAGATCAAGGTTGGAGACATTGGCATTGCAATCTTCGGCTCTGGGCTCCGTAGTTGTGATTCCGTCTGAGGAGACGCAAGAAAGGATTTGTAATAATCAGTGCGAGTGTCATTTGGGTGCTCGTCTATGACGTTTTGGCCATTAGGCTTGTTTGCTGTGCTTTGAACTGTAAACTCTGGCGGGCGCGCCTGGTACGCTGTGCTGAATGCTGTTGAGTGCTTTATGCAAATAAAGCAGGGGAAACCTTTCATCTAAAAAAAAATAGCCGAAAAACTCCTGTAACAACAAAAGGTGTTAAAAATGATTTCACAAACGATGACTTTACTGATGCAAAGAAGCAACAACAGATATGTTCAATTCACATACCCGAAAGTAAGCCAACTCCTTTTCTGTGTCACCCTCTGGGTGAGAAAAGGAAATGGCAGAACTTGAAGCTTCCTTACGAGGCCTGAAATAGCTCAAGTGATTCTGCACATAAAATAATATGTTAGACACCACCATATATTTAAGAAAATTGCGAAATTCACAGGAATTTCCACAAATAATCCACTGCTAAGAAAAATGTGAAATGAAAGAGTTTACATACACGCACAACTCTAAGCATATTTTTATTCTCCTGATGTCGACTTCGAAAAAATTCAAGCTGACAGTTCATCGACATTAGTTCATCCTTCAGAGTTCGAGCCTCCTCAAGACTAAAGATTCTTTTCTCTTGCTCAATTTCTCTTTTGATACGCCCGTCTGATAAACCATGATTGCTGGAGCATTCATCTGGGTGGCTTACGAGTGACATACATCTAATCTTGTCCCTTGTGTGTTTCCACCACTCTTCTTCTGATTGTACCTGTCTGGAATACACAAGTAATAAGATCAGGAAAAGGCCTCAAATCTAAGAAAAATCAGAAAACTTTGGCATGGACACCTACTACCTTCCAGGGATTGTCAATAGAGAGAACAAAAGGCGACACAAAGATACGGCCATCTCCACAATCTTCTGTCGTACTAACTTCCAAGCACACATGCTGCCGATTGAAGATCAGATCTGAATATAAAGATAGTTCAAATATGAGTGTTTTCCAAGTACATTATTTTCCAAATGAACAATACAATCTTCATTCATCTTTATACACAGTGTGGACTCGAACTAGGCTCACTGGCAGTGGCGTAGCCAGGATTTATAGCTAGGGTGGTCCGGTGTTAAAAAAAATAATCACTATATAAATATAACATTGTCGTTGTACAGCATATGAACTGGGAAGCTCAATAAAATGCTGCAGATTTTTTTTTAAAAAAAAACTACAATTGAAATAAAGTAAAAAAAAAAAGGGCGTACCCAGTGCAGAGAGCTCCCGCTCTGTGCGGGGTCTGGAGAAGGGTGTCAGTGGCAAGCCTTACCCTCGCCTGTGCAATGCGAGGAGACCGCGACTCGAACCCGGGACCTTCCGGTCACAGGCGGTAAGACTCTACCGCTTGCATCAGGCCCGCCCTTCAATTGAAATAAAGTAATCTAGCACAAAAAATCCTCCAATAATTTAACGCCCTACAAATCTATAACCTAAAATAGTTTTGCATATCCTATACGTTATGCACTTTTGCTGTTTGTGCGGATCACGAATCACCGATCACCGGCCACCAGCAATGCCTGAGGGAGAAATTGAAAGGGAAAAAACATGACTACGGGACTAGGGGCAACAGGCTAATTGGCTTTGGCCTTTATCAGTTCGAGTCTTCTTTTCTTCAGATGTCAGATCGTACCTGACTGCCCTGCTGGTGGGGGGCTGTTGCGTGCTGGAGCTCGCAGTGGCGTCGCGGAGGCGGTGATGGCCACGCCCGCCGCTGCTGCCGACCTGCTGAGTGGTGGATCTCGGGGAGGACTGCAGGGGGAGGTGGCCGGCGCGGCGTAGGTCGGGGCACCGGCGGCGGCGCGGCGCAGGCGGCGTGCGGCGGGGCAAGTCACGAGTCGACTCAAGAGTGAGTAATGCTGCTACTGGTTTTTTTTTTTTTTTTTTTGAGTGGAGCTGCTCCTACTGGCTAGGAGATAGAGTGCGGTGCGTGCGGACGGTGGATTATTGGGCTGGGCTGAGCTCGCAGTGTTTTTTGCATTCGGGTACCGGGCCGGGAGTCAGTACCCAAGTTAAGGCCATCTGTCCAAGGAGACAAGCCTGGATTTAGGCCCAGACCGCCGCCGCCGCCGCGGCCACCGGAGCGGAGAGCTAGCCAGTTGCTCACTTCCTCGCGACTAGGCGCGGCTGCTGGCCCACCGAGCTTTCTCCAGGCTGCGCTGACGGCCGCGGTCCGCCGGCCACCGTGCCTTCTCCAGGCCGCGCCGACGCCCCGCGTGGAACAAGACCCCGGTTGCTCTGGCGCCCATCGCGAAGCCCCTCTCCGGCAAGAAGCTCTGAAAGCGGGCGGCGGACCCTCAAGCTCGTGCGCCGAGGTTCATTCGACTTCTATCTTCACCCTATTCGATTCTTTTATTCCCATCCGATTGTGATTTGATTCTCAGCGTATCTGCAGCCTCGGAAGCCAAGGAGGTTGTAAGAGCATCTGCCGTGGGAACAAAGGGTTAGTACTTTTCAATCCTCTGTTCTGCTTATTCAGTGCTTAGTAACTTGTATCGTCTATTTGGTGATGTTATAAAGTCCCAATGACCATAAGAGTAGTTGGGCTCGTTGTAGTAATCAGCAAATTTCCTAGTAAGCTTTTTTATGCATCTTCTTTCAGGAAATGCTTTATGTACCATAGATCAGCAAATTATCTTAGAACTATTTATACAGCAAATTCTGCAAGTTTTGAACTTATATTTGTTGAATTTAATGAGATATTATTAGACCTTTTAAATATATACATGTAACATACTTTTCATTATTTTATATATATTTGTCTACTGAATTTCTTGGCAATTTTTTAACTTGTATAATACTATTGTGTATTGGATCATACTGCATTGCACATTGTAGAAATTGGCTAGGACTATCCTGGGTCCGCCAGTGGCCATGGCGTGTGCTGCTTACAGTATCAGAGGCCCTCTCAAGCTCGCTGCAAGGCACGGCTCGGATGTGTTGATTAGTAACAACTCGTGCAATGGCTCCAAGTCTTCGGTGTCTTACCCCGTTGCTCAGTGGTGGAGCAGCAACTGCTCGTCCATCACAATGCGTCATGTCGCCTCCCATCACCACTTGATTGTTAAGGCTTCAGCAATGTGGCACTCAAAAGCTTCAGCAACTGATGCATCCACTGCTTCCGGTACATAAGATACTGGTTTATTTTGATTTGTCGTCTTAAAGCTCAGCTCGAAAATGAAATGTTTTAATGGAAATGCAAATCCAAGAGCAAGCTGGCTTGACACCTGTCTATTGCCTTTTCTCAGATGAGAGGATAACTGTACTGGTCATTGGTGGTGGAGGCAGGGAGCATGCTCTTTGTTATGCCTTGAACCATTCCCCATCATGTGCTGCAGTTCTATGTGCCCCTGGTAATGCTGGTATTGCTCAGTCCGGGGATGCAACATGTATTTCAGATTTGGACATCTCCAGTAGTGATGATGTTATCTCGTTCTGCCGCAAGAGGGGAGTGGGAATGGTTGTAGTGGGTCCTGAAGCCCCTCTTGTTGCCGGTCTTGCGAATGACCTTGTCAAAGTTGGGATACCAACCTTTGGCCCTTCATCAGAGGCTGCAGCATTAGAAGGATCAAAGGACTTCATGAAGAAGCTGTGTGATAAGTACAATATCCCTACAGCTAAGGTACTTCCTGTTCATTTATGTGATAAGTTACTCTTGGCATGACTATAGGGTTATATTTATGGAAATGCCTGCATATAGGTGACGGCATCTGTAGGTTAAGATATGAACCAAACAATATACTGTTTTAGGTATTTTATATAGATGTTTCCTTTGTTTTGAGACAAATTGTTAGCCCTGCTCATGTTTTACTAATCTCATATTGATAGTCACAAACACTAGAAATAGTTAACTATGATTTTCCATGGCATCTCTGGTTTTATGGCTGAACTATATTAAAGAACTGTTTGTAATTCTAAAAATTCTCTAGCTATTATGTTTAAATTGAAGTAATTGTGTTGCTCTAGAAAAGAATGAATGTAAGGTCAGTATATAAAAAAGTAAAACACAGCTCATTCATTCGTAAGTATTGATAATTTCAGATGTTAAGCCATTCAAACTATTCTAATGTGAGGACTTATTTGTCCCTAGTATCGCACATTCACGGATGCTGTGGAAGCTAAAAAATATGTAAAAAATGAAGGAGCCCCTATTGTTGTCAAAGCTGATGGTCTGGCAGCTGGAAAGGGTGTGGTTGTTGCAATGACTTTGGATGAGGCGTTGGAAGCCATAGACTCTATGTTGGTTGAAGGCTCATTCGGTTCTGCTGGTTCACGGGTTATCATTGAAGAATTTCTAGAGGGTGAAGAAGCCTCGTTCTTTGCATTGGTAGACGGCGAAAATGCTTTGCCTCTTGAATCAGCACAGGATCACAAAAGAGTTGGTGATGGTGATGTTGGCCCAAATACCGGTGGTATGGGTGCATACTCCCCTGCTCCAATAGTAACAGATGAGCTCAAACGCATTGTAATGGAAAGTATAATTATCCCTACTGTTAAAGGCATGGCAGCCGAAGGTTGCAAGTTTGTTGGTGTATTATACGCTGGGCTTATGATCGAGAAGAAATCTGGGCTGCCTAAGCTTATTGAGTACAATGTAAGATTTGGTGACCCAGAATGCCAGGTTAGTTACCCATCTCCAACATCGAGTATTCATTTTTGTAGATGAACAGGCAAGAAATTCCAAAAAATTGATTTTGAAAAGCAAGATCTAAACAGAAGCTTCATACAATAAAAGTCCTGTATAGGGGAGTGTCGGAATGCATCAATCAATAATCCAGTACAGAGAAAAATTCAGAACAAGATCTTTTGGAAGAGAATCATCCAATTGTTTAGTAAACTTTCAATTTAGCGGAATGATGCATTATAGTTTATTTACATGTCTAAATTTGATCATTCCAATTTGGCTTTTAGTTAATATATGATCAAGGTACTTTCGTTGGACAACAGAATGCAATGGATCTGCATATCTTTCCAACAGAGTCTGTGCTTGTGCTGCACTTTTGCCCTGAAATTTGCTGTCTAGGTCTAATAGTTCACTCTATTTTCTTCCAGTGGATGGGCTGGGTAGACTCAATTCCTATATGCAATGGGAATGGTGCATTTCTGTGTTATAGAATAGCATACTGGAGTTAGCTTAGGTGATCAGATATATTATTACAATCTGAAAAAGGAGATATGATCATATGATGTATAGCGAAGTGAAAAATTGCAATGCGCAGCTTTTAAAGATCTATATAACTGCCTATTTAGGACCAATCTAGTAGCCATTATACTGTTTCTCACTATCTATTTGATCAATATCAGACACCATAAAGTTCCTTTGGTTCATGTAATTTTGGGAGGTCACATTTCTTGACCACTGTGGAATGTCCAATTTTTTACTCTATCTGCTGCAAAAAGTTTCACTTTTATTTTATACCAACGACAGTCTTACATTTCTAGGTTGGACCACTTAATTTTTCAGTAATATCTAGGCCTATATTAGTGTCATGGGCATACTTTAGATGGCCCTGAAGCCTGAACCCAAGCAGTGTTACTATGCTGATACTGAGCTGCCGCACCAGAAGGTCAGGAACATATGAGATACTAGAAACTAAGATAGATTTCTTGCTCAACAAGAGGAGATACAAAGCCATCCTTATATAGATGGGACAACTTGATCTTAAGGAACTAATCTCTGAAATTAAAGAAGCAAACCAACATAATATTATTTCTGAATAAAAACAAATCATAAGGCTAATGGAACAGTAAACATGCAGGACCAGTAGAAGTACCACCATATCAAAATTAAATCTGAGAAACTGTCAGTAGAAAATGTATGATTGTTTTTTTCCCAGGAGTAGCTATTTGCCTAAGTAGAAGGGCGGGCCTGGTGCAAGTGGTTGAGTCTTACTGCCTGTGACCGGAAGGTCCCGGGTTCGAGTCGCGGTCTCCTCGCATTGCACAGGCGAGGGTAAGGCTTGCCACTAACACCCTTCCCCAGACCCCGCACAGAGCGGGAGCTCTCTGCACTGGGTACGCCCTTTAGTAGCTGTTTGCCTAAGTAATATGAATCCAAATTGCAGGCCGCCATCAGTTCAAATTGCTGTTGTTCTAAAAATCCTAATGGGTTACTACTTACTTGTAATATATGTTTGAACTTTATGGAGAATTTCCTTTGCTGCATTGTCATTATGCTTGTCTAGTACATCTCAGAAGTACACTGCACAAATTTCAGATGAAATATTTAGCTGAAATCATGTTCTTGGCCTGTGAAATATTTTTGCCATGATATTCCAGACTATCCTTTTCTCTACTGATCAATTTTCGTGTCATTATAGGTTCTGATGATGCGATTAGAATCTGATTTGGCACAAGTTCTGTTATCCGCTTGCCAGGGAGAGTTAGGCAATGTTTCACTAACCTGGTCACCTGAAATGGCAATGGTTGTTGTGATGGCAAGCCAGGGATACCCCGGCTCTTATAAAAAGGGGACCGTAATAAAAAATGTGGACAAGGCTGAGCAGGTGTCTCCAGCTGTCAAGATATTCCATGCTGGGACCGCACTAGATGGAGATGGCAATCTTGTTGCCGTTGGAGGGCGAGTTCTTGGTGTCACTGCCAAGGGCAAGGACATCGAAGAAGCAAGGGCAAGAGCATATGACGCTGTAGACGCTGTCGAGTGGCCAGAAGGGTTCTTCAGGCGCGACATTGGTTGGAGAGCACTGAAGCAGAAGCAAGTGGCTAACTAGTAGCTAGCTACCCATGACCCACAAGATTTTCCTAGAGAACCACAATTACGGTGAGTTTGTAGTGTTTACAAGTAATAAAAAGGGAAACGGTGTAACATTCACTGTTTTTGGTTGTGGAAAGACAAAAGTATTGCTGGTCAAACAGCAGCTTGTTCAAATTTTAACACCTGCTGATTTCAGCATGATTTGGTAGATGTTTGCACTGAGATTGTGTTCGGAGTCCAGACAAGCGCTAGAGCGAAAACAGCGCCATTTGAATTCTGACCAATTGTCTTCAGTTTCCGGATAAGTGGACCTTCCAAATAATTGTGATATCTCAAACCAAATAATTGTGATATCTCAAACCAAACACTTCAAAGTGGGTCAAAGTGGGATCGACCAGGTCCCATCCCCCATCGTCCCCGGTAAAATGCTAATGATGTTTCTGTTTTTTTCATATTGTGTACCACACCTGTTGGACCAGTTTTATCATCTGAAAGTATGAAATAGATATGCAGTCAGCCCTAGAGCAGGAATAT